AGCTCCACATGCTTCAGAGGGAGAATATTTAGTTCAGGCTGAAATGTTATTCAGCAGGAAACAGATGTCACCTGTGCAACTGTCTTTCTATCCAAACTGAAGGAACATTTGGTTTTGAGACCAAACACAGCTTGTTTGTCTGCTGGATGGAATGTTGGGTTTTATTTCCTTGACATGAAGCTTGTGCTCAACTGAGTATACTTCAAGACATAATGTTAGGACCAGCCCTACCATTAGGCAAACTGAAATGACTACCTGAGCTGGCAGCCTCAATGGTGGCAAACATGGCAGTTTTCTCCTGGCTGTCATTTCTGCTAGAGAACAGAACTACATATTCCATTATGTTTATCTTGCAACTCCCAAAGCCTCAGGTGCACCATGTGCTGGAAGATGTCACTGCATTCTAGATCCAGCTGCCAATCCGGTGGGCTTCTATATAGGGAACTGTGGGTGGGAACAGTTTGTCTTCTGTCTCAGGCAGCAAAATGTTTGGGGTCTGCTCTGCAATATGACTTACTTTAGGTCAAAATATTATTCCACTTTAGAATGCAAACATACACATAAAATGAAGGATGTTGGGGAACAGTTTCTTAACTGCTTTAATGCCAACTAAAGTTTCACTGGAAGAAAGTATCTGAGCAATATTGGTAAAAAAAAAAAAACAAGTATTGTGTAGTGGTTTAAGTGCTGGACTAGGGCACTAGGAGTCTAGGGTTCAAATATCTGCTTGATGATGGAAACCTCCTTGGAACAAATGCAGCTAAGAAAACTCTTTAGATCTACCCTTAGTCAGAAATACATGTGTGGAGTGTATGCAACAAAAAATATAGGTAAATATAGAGTGTTCAGGTGCAACTCTGAGCAATTTAACTACAAAGTTAAGACTGTGATTCTAAAGCATTAAGAATTAAGCGCAGCTGAACAAAGTAGCAGTGATGGTTGCGTAAAACATGCCTAGAATTGCATGGCACGCTTCACTTAATGCGGAGAGGAAATTGTTCTGAGCAAACAAGTATGGACTGAACTGTGTCTCTAATCCTGATTTCCTCCTTTAGCCCCAAATTCTGTAAGATGTTTATCTTTAAATACTTCATCACACAAGAGAATGAATCCACTTTAAATCCAGTTTCTTCCTCCTGCAGAATTCTGGGGTTTGTAGTTTTGAGAAGCATTTAACAGCCTCACTAAACTACAAATTCCAGAATTCTGCAGAAGGCTGAAACCGGATTTAAAGTGGATTCATTCTCTGGTGTGATGAGGTCTTTAAGTCTCACTTCCCTGACTCCAGATAGTTTCTGGCTTCCTGAAATTTTCCAGAAAGGGTGAATGAGATACCAATGTGTTGAACAAGTACTAGTTACAATGAGTGTACATTCTACCCTGTTTTGCGTGGACTACAATTTAAAAAGCCCTGCATACCCATTGCACATGATCTCCTGTCTGTTCACTCTTCTCCCATTTGTATTCTAGTTAGGTGTCATGGCTCAGCACCAGAGTTTCACTTCAAAGGTCTCTTCCTCTTTCCTCCAGCCCCCACCCCCCTTCCCAGGAAATACTGCAATAAACAGCTTCAAAGTCTGGAGGCTTCAGAAATCCAGATGTTAGTATGGCTGAATAAATGCTGAGAGGCAGCTGTTTCTTCTCTCTCCCATTCCCTTCCTCCTTTCCCTATTCATAAGGGAGAGACACTCTTTCTTTGGTTGTTCTTGTTGCCTTAAAATAAAGCAGCACCAAACCAAAAACTTCTGGATGTACATCAATTTGCTTCTGAAACGCAATAGCCTACAGATTGCAAGGAAATGAGAGGATAAACTGGGCATAACAGGTCAGGTATAGTGGGCCCTTGATATCTGCTGGGTTTGGTTACAAGACATACTGATATCAGAGACTGGATGCTCAAATCCCACTGCACACAATGGCGTAAAAAAGTGCTGCCCCTTATTATTATTATTATTATTAATAATAATAATAATAATAATAATATAAAACTTTATTTGTATTTCTTCCTGTCTCCCCAAGGAGACTCAAGGCAGATTATATTGAAATAAGATTTTTTTTTCCTGTCAGGAGTGACTTGAGAAACTGCAAATCGCTTCTGGTGTGTGAGAGCATTGGCCATCTGCAAGGACATTGCCCAGGGGACACCCGAATGTTTTACCATCCTGTGGGAGGCGTCTCTCATGTCCCTGGATGGGAAGCTGGAGCTGACAGATATAGGCTCATCCCATTCCCCAGATTTGAACCGCCAACCTTTCAGTTAACCTTCAACAATACTTTCTGGGAAGTCATGCTACCCCTCTATTCCGCCTTGGTTAGACCACACCTGGAATATTATATCCAATTCTGGGACCAAAATTGAAGAGATATATTGACAAGCTGGAATGTGTCCAGAGGAGGGCGACTAAAATGATTGAGGGTCTGGAGAACACGCCCTATGTAGAGCGGCTTAAAGACCTGGGCATGTTTAGCCTAAAGAAGAGAAGGCTGAGAGGAGACATGATAGCCATGTATAAATATGTGAGAGGCAGTCATAGGAAGGAGGGAGCAAGCTCATTTTCTACTGCCCTGGAGACTAGGATGCTGAACAATGGCTTCAATCTACAAGAAAGGAGATTCCATCTGAACATTAAGAAGAACTTCCTGACTGTGGGAGTTGTTCAGCAGTGGAACTCTCTGCCCCTGAGTGTGATGGGTTTCTTTGGAAGCTTTTAAACAGAGGCTGGATGGCCATCTGTCAGGGGTGCTTTTAATACAGTGTTCCTGCTTCTTGGCAGGGGGTTGGACTGAATGGCCCATGAGGTCTCTTCCAACTCTATGATTCTATGAGAGTTTCCTTTTTTGGAATCTTTTTTTCAGGACACAAATATGGGTGGTTGAATCAGTGGATACAGAATCCATGGATTCTGTCCTGCAAAGGAGCTCCTTGCTGCCTTCTCCAATTCAGTGAACCTTGCTCACTGTTGTTGTTCTTTTGCAAGACCCACTGAAGATAAAGGTGTATCTGGGCTGGTAAAATTGATACAGTTTGACACCACTTGAAGTGCCCTGGCTCAATGCTGTGGAACCATGGGAGTTGTAGTTTGGGGAGGCAGCAGGACTCTTTGTCAGGGATATATAAAGACCTTGTAAAACTACAATTTAAGCAGTTAAAGTGGTGTCAAGCTGTATTGATGCCAGTGTAGATCAGGCATGGGCAAACTTGGCCCCTCCAGGTGTTTTGGACTGCAACTCCCACAATTCCTAACAGCCTATCTGCTGTTAGGAATTGTGGGAGTTGCAGTCCAAACACCTGAAGGGCCCAAGTTTGCCCATACCGGATGTAGATGCAGCCATCAGGTTCTGAAAGGGCCTCCTCTGAGTTTCCAAGCTAAGTGCGCCCTACCTTTCCTCAAGTCAAGGATGGTTTTCACACCAGAGTCCAAGGAGCTCGCCTTGGCCAAAGGGTGAACCTTTCTCCCCTTCCCCATCCACCATCAGCCCCAAAGCGCACAGGCGGCGGGCTGCTCTGTCCCTGAACAAAAGACTGGTCTATGATCAAGGAAAAAGAAGTGTGTGTCGGGGTTGGAGGCAGAGAGAAGGGAGCTCAGCAACACCACGTGAAAGTCAGCCGACGAGGGCTTTACCAGGAGCTCTTGATCAGGACAAAAGCCCCCCTTATTCCGGCCTTGGCTGAGGAGGAACTCTTCCTCCCGAGCCCCGCTTCCCCTCTGGAAGCGGACCGGGCGCGTGCGTATGCCAGCACGCGTGTACGCGTGCCTGGATGCGTGTGGAACCAGGCTCTGGTCCTCTCCCTTTTCAAGGGCAGAGTTAAGAGGGACACAATGTTGCGAGGCGCCTCGCTTTCCCCAAGGTCGGACCTTGGCTGGCTCGCCTAAGAAACAAGTTGAGACTCAGATCTGAAGAAGAGCAGGCTTGAGAATGAACACACTAGGGAATGGATCCACTTTAAATCCGGTTTCTGCCTCCTGCAGAAGTCTGGGGTTTGTAGTTTAGGGAGGCTGTTAAAGCTTCCTCCCTAAACTACAAACCCCAGAATTCTGCAGGAGGCAGAAACCCGATTTAAAGTGGATTCATTCTCCAGTGTAATGAGGTCCTTGGAGAGCAAAAGTTTGCGCCGGGGAAACTCTTCAGCGCCCAGCAGCACCGCTTGGAAAGGGAAAAGTGCCATCTCCTGAAATGTGGTTTTCTCTCCCTGGAAAAAAGTTTGATCCATTTCTTGACTGCCGTGTCTATATTTATAACAGAATCCTATTGAACACACATAAGCCAAAGGAAAGTGTGCATTGAGCTTCCAAGGGCCCTTCCACACAGCCACAGAACTCAGAATACAGAGGCTGAAAATTCAACAAGATCTGCTTTGAACTGGGTTATCTGAGTCCACACTGCCATATATTCCAGTTCAAAGCAGATACTGTGGAATTTCCTGCCTTGATATTCTGGGGGCCCTTCCACGCAGCCCTATACCCCAGAAAATCAAAGCAGAAAATCCCACAATATCTGCTTTGAACTGGATTATCTGAGCCCTCAGATAATGTGGGATTTTCTGCCTTGATATTCTGGGATATAGGGCTGTGTGAAAGGGCCCTGAGTCCACACTACCATATATTCCAGTTGAAAAACAGACTTTGTGGGATTTTCTGCCTTGATATTTTGGGATACAGGGCTGTGTGGAAGGACCCTCAGTCCACACTGCCATCTATTCCAGTTCAAAGGAGACAATGTGAGATTTTCTGCCTTGATATTCTGGGGCCCCTTCCACACAGCTGAATGGAATCACACATTATCTGCCTTGAACTGGAATATATGGCAGTGTGGACTCCAGATATCCCAGTTCAGAGCAGATCTTGTGGGATGGTATTCATCTGTGTGGAAGGGGCCCAAGGCAGAGGTAGGTGCACTGCTCTGAGACGATCTGCTTGGAGCCAGCTTGAATTCTCCCTAACTTCCCCCCAATGGAAATGCAAATAAACGAACGTGAAGCCGCCTTGGCCCATCCTTACCTTGGCCCGCCAGCCGTGAGGAAGGCAAAGCAAGTGCCTCGGCTCCTGGGAAGGTGACAATGCGCCAAGCGAGCCCTCTTTGGGGCGGCCCGACCTGCCGCTTTCAACTTTCCAAGCCTCCTGCTCTTTTGTCCTTCCTTCCTCCCTGCTTGCCTTCTTGCCTTTTCCCTTCTCCTGAAAGAAAAGTGCCGAGACCTTGAGGGTTTGTTTTTTTAAAAAAGGGAAAGCCCTCGCCCCCCTCCAACCCAAACACCCAGCCCCTTCTGGTTTAACCCTGCCTCACTTGAAGGCTGAGCTTTTCCAAAACTTTTTTCAAGCTTAGGGAGGGAGGGAGGGAGGGAGGGAGGAGGTGGGAAGGGGGCAGAAGGAGGGCTGAGAGCGCAAGAGGTGGGGCTGCCGAGGGGTGGGGCGCCCAAAAGGAGGAGGAGGGGAGAAAGTCAGAAAAAACGCAGGAGCCGGAGACCGTCGGAAAAGGGAGTGAACTGGAGAGAAGTGGCTGAGTAAGCATCTGCTTTTCTAAAAAAGAGACATGAAAGCGCCCCAGATGGGACAGCATCCAAAGCCTCCTTGCCCTGGAGAAGTGGCAGCGCTTCTTTGACTCTCTCCAAAGGTGCACAGTGGCACCTCTCCCTCCCTGGGTTAGTTTTACTGGAAGATAAAACTTTGGAGGCTTTTCACAGAGGCAGGATGGCCATCTGTCAGGAGTGCCTTGAATGCAATTTTCCTGCTTCTTGGCAGGGGGTTGGACGGGATGGCCCATGAGGTCTCTTCTATGATGAAAAGGGGATTTCATCAGTAACTAGCCTGCAGTGACTGCTTCCCAAAGCCACCCTAGGGTTGGCACCAGGGCTTGTGCCACCTTAAATGCTGTGTGCGCGCGTGCGTATGTGTGGTTGTAAGGGAATGCTCCCTGTTGGCATTTGACAAGATGCAGGAATGATAACATTGGCAGGGAGGGAGGGAGTTGTCTTGTGTTTCCCCTTGGGGCTGCGACATCCCGGCACATCTCCTCCAGCGGGTGCCTTCTCCACTCTTGTGAAACCGGGCCTCTTTGGAGGGCATGAGACAGTTGCACAATGCTCCATGGAATGTTTAGTACATGCACATACATATATGTCTCTGTGGGTGCCAAAAGAGTGAAGAAAGAAACGTGGGCCAAAAAACTATGGAACACACAATTGGGTGTAAGATAGGTGACTGCAGTGAAAATCAGGTTGCTCCTGTAATCCAGCAGCAGCACAGGCATCTTATGGCCTAGCCATCACTTGGCAAAGTTACACTTTTGGACTTTATTTTTTCAAGTCAGGAACAACTTTAGAAACTGCACCTTTGGACTGATGCTCACAGAATCCAACAGTCACTGGGATTCTGGGCATTACAATCTAGAAAAGTACTTGCTATAACCTCAGAAACTAACACCCAACTTGGCAAAGAAGAAGTCTACTACCTGATTAAAAATGCATAGTATTTATTTATTTATTTCACATATTTGCATCCTGCTCTTCTCACCCTAAAAAGGGGACTCGGGGTGGACTTACAGCAGGCAGCAATTGATGCCAATACATATAAATATAAAAATAAACACATACAATTAAAATCATACAATTAAACATTAATTATTAAAACTTCAATTAAAATCATGCAATCCAGATCATAGTCCAAGGCCTGTCCAATTGTCAATTCCTTTAGTTATACTTATTGCACTATTTACTGGTTGAATGCTTGGTCCCACAGCTATGTCTTAAGCTTCTTCCTGAAAGACAGGAGGGAGGGAGCTGACCTGATTTCATTGGGGAGTTCCATAGATGAGGGCCACCACTGAGAAGGCCCTGTCTCTCATCCCCATCAATTGCACTTGGGATCAAGAGCGGGGCTTCCCCAGATGATCTTAACTTTCAAGGTGGGTCATAGAGGGAGATAAGTTTGGACAGGTAAGCTGGGCTGGAACCGTTTAGGGCTTCGTGGACTAAAGCCAGCACTTTGAATTGTGCTTGGTAGCAGACTCGCAGCCAGTGTAGCTCACGTAACACGGGGGTTGTGTGCTCCCTGTACGCTGCACCAGTGAGCAATCTGGCTGCCACCCATTGGACCATTTGAAGCTTCTGAACAGTCTTCAAAGGCAACCCCATGTAGAGCGCATATAGGGTGTAACAAGAGTGTGGACCATCATAGAAGATTACCCATCTTAAAGGCTATTTTTATCCTCTGTTATTAAGATTTCTGCTAAGAAAATAGAATTAAGCAAACCTGAACATTTTAGAACAGAAGAGGTCTACTGGATCTAATAGCTCTCAAAACTATCATCCTGCTTCTCAGTGGTTCTCAACCTGTGGGTCCCCAGCTGTTTCAGCTGTTAGGATTTCTGGGAGTTGAAGGCCAAAACATCTGGGGACCCCCGGTTGAGAACCACTGAGCTGGATACACCTAACAAGTACTCAAGAAATAATTATGCCCTGCTTTTTTTTCTCCAGCACCTAATGATCCCTGCCAGGGAGCCAGCATGGTATAGTTGTTAGAATAATTTAGACCCCATGAATGTATTAGAGGAAAATAGACTATATAAACTAATAGATAAGTATTATCTCCAAACATGATTGTATCATTTAGTCATCACAGTTTGCCTAATTCCTTTCAAAAGCCATCTAGAACTATGCACGTACATCACGTCTTGTGGCCGTGAACCTGCAAACTTGATTACATGTTATGTGCTTTTGTGTGACTCAAACATACAACTAGTTAATTTAATAGAAGGCTCTCAAATCCTGATACATGGGGCCAGTATATGCAATTTCATTTAGCCACTTCTGACAAAATATGGCTTCTCCATGTATTTTTTAGTTCTCTCTAGCACATCTCCGTGGTATTCTTAAGTCAAAAGACCTTCATTTCAGTAGGGTTCACTCGTATTACCTGTAATCCACGATTACCTGTAATTTCACATATCCATTCCAAATTTGGGGATGTATCTCCACAGATACAGCAGTTGTGCTGATACATAAAATAGGAAGAAAAACTTCTGTCTATCCTGGCTGTACTTTAAGAAACCTTTACTGTGTCCCAAGTTAGCTGCTTGTAGGCTTGTTATCTTTTGTTCCTTTTCCTGCTTTAAGATAACACTTTTTAGAAACACAGATTCAAAGTTTAGTTGCCATATAGGCTTGTATAATAGAATGACAATGTTGGGTGAAATCCAATAGTGTTCATTTGCTAGTGAAATTGAATCTCTCACAGCGTGGCTTCCCCTTCTCTCTGTATGCTGTCTGCAAAATATGCTCTAAGGAAGGGGAAGCTTTCTGAAGCAGATGTTGAGATGTGTGAAAGAGGGCACAGTGGGGAGCAGAGAATGGGAATAGTGCTGTGCACCAGCAGAAGCCAACTCTTGTTGGATGCAGTCTATGGGCATTTTATTTTGACACATTTTCTTTGCATTTTTCATGGATTAGGAATGTGTAGCCTCCAAGTGTTGTTAGATTGGAACTTTCATAATTCCTTACCAATAGCTATAATGGTTAGGGATGATGGGAGTTGAATGTCAATAGCTAAAGAACCCCATTTCCCCCACTCTTGTTTTTCACAGTATTTAAGAACTCTAGAATAAAGTTGATATTTTGGAAGGCTTGGGTCAGGCCCGTAGCCAGGATTTCGTTTCGGGGGGGGGGGGGGGGGGCTGAGTCTGAGTGAAAGAGGGTCTAGCCTAGCAAACCTTTTGTATCATTACCCCAATACCCCCATGCATATGGGATATATTGAGTATGGTGATCAGATCATGATATGAATAAACATAACAGTTTAAAGAATGCACCAGTAAGGCCTTTTTGCGAACCACCATGAGAATTTCGGGGGGGGGTGAAGCCCCCCGAGGCCCCCCCCCCTCCGGCTACATGCCTGGCTTGGGTTAATAACGCTAAATTTAGAAGGTCCTTGGAATTGCCATATCTTGATAGGTGATTGGAAGTGGGGGCTTACATCCAAGCAGGCACAATTAGAGTTATGTTGTAATAAGTTTATAAACCAGTCCAGTTTAAAACCTCATTTAAAAAATTGGTGTAAAACTAAAATGTAAATTTGTGTATGCATACACCTCTTCAATTTGCCTTAATCTAACTATTTGCTGATCTAATCCCTTTATTGCCTTAAGGGGTGAGGGGAGCCTGTTATCATAGGCAGCAGCAACCTTAAATAAGTTAGGAAGTACGGTATTCAGAATTTGGTAGTGCTGCCACTTTTACTGTTCTAAACTTGACTTTGTGCACCACGTGTAAAAAATTCTATCACATAATGGAACACTTGAATACTTCCTTGACACAGAGTACAGAATCATTTCTTAGATATATACCGTATTTTACAGTGTATTAGATCATTATTAACCCAGGAAAATCCTCCCTGAACTTGGGGGTTATCTAGTACGCCGGGTATAAGTTATCACTTCCTATTTTGAGTCAAGGCGAGGGAGGCGGGCAGCTGCCCTGCGCTGGAGCAGGGCATCCGAAGCCGCAGCAGCTGCTGCACTCCTCCAGCGCCACTTGGCTCCCATTACCGGGCTTCAGCCTCACTGAGGGGCTCTTCCACTCCAGGCCTGCCTTGGCTCCTGCTACCAGGCTTCAGCCTGACCAAGGGGCTTTTTCATTCCAGGCCTGCCTCAACTGTCAATGCAGAGGAGGAGGAGAAGGTGTTATACTCACCGGATGGCCAGGAAGTGTTATCAACAAATTGAAATTTTCAATTGAAAAGTTGGGGGGTCATCTTATGTGCCCAGTTGTCTAGTACACCGGAAAATTAGGTAAATCTGACTGTTGTGTAGGACTGAAATATCAGCCAGTTATCAGATATTACCAGAACCCACCAAATATCCGTTGAGAGAAAAGTAACTTTGCTAAGTTCCGTGCCCAGATGTGTCAGGCATGGAGTTTAAGAGTGAAAGGAAGGGAGAATGTTAAGTACTCTTCCAATATGTGTTTTGAATTTGAGGGGTTATTCAAGAAGTTGGGCCTCCCTTTTGCATGATGACTTTTTTATCACTTTCTCTTCTTCTCTGGATTCAATTTATAGAGCTTCCAAATGGAAAGAAGGATATAAGAAGAGGCTGTTATTTCTTCCCTTTGTTCCTTTTGCTATCACCGGGTAAATGAGATAAACGGACAGTAGTGGCAAAGTGGAGCAGAAGACAAACTAGGAACTTCCAAAAACAGTCAGTGCTCTCTTTTCAAATCATTGGTCTCATTGAGTACCCCGTGATATCATAATCATGATGTTGATCTTGCACTTAAACATCATTTTGTTCTTTGCCCACAATAAAGTATCACCTCCTGGGAGCACTTTGGAATGGAAAGTTGAACATTACAGCCACCTTATGTGCAACGTGTAGTGTGGCTTTTGACATGGCTTTTGACATGGATCCTGATATATCCGTTCTAACTGTTTCACTATTTTCACTGATTAAGTTTTACATGACTTGACAGATCTGTAATGGAATCATCTGATAGTATTGATTTTACTTAAAGGCATGCAAATAGGATCATAACTGTAATGCTCAGGAAGGAACACATCAATTTTCTATCAAAATAGATTCCCTGGTGTAGTATTAATATGTTGCAGCACTAATAGACAGTTCAAGGGATGATTTCAATAAAGAGCACATGCAAAGAAAATTGGTTAAACCCCGTGGTTCTAGCATTTTTGTTCCAGTCCACTCTGACATTATTAGGTTTCAGTAAATGAAAATATCAAATATCAGATTCATGATCATTATTTATAGTTTAGTCCCTTGACGGTGGACTTTATTTTGATTCTGTTGAGATGCTTCATACTCTGAGTGCTGGATAACTCCTTGAAAGGCGTAACAGATATTCCAGCAGCTCTTGTATTTGGATAGCGCACCAAGTCTATTGTTCTGTGATATTTCTCTATTTTGACAGCTGAGGATTCTTGCTCCACTGCTGGGTTTCAGAGGGTTCATTAAAGGTTGCAACCCTGATGGTATCATTCTGGGCTAACAGCCTTTTAAAATCAAAGCTCAAACTTTTACAATAGCCAGATGTTTACCTCCAATGTCAGTTATACACATTTGTATATGTGACTTCACATTATCTACTGACTGATGGCAATCCCATGTATTTCATAGGATTTTCTTAGGCAAGAAATCCTCAAAGGTAGTTTTGCCAGTTCGTTTCTCTGAAATATAGTCTAACTACAGCACCTGTTATTCATTGGTAGTCTCTTATGGAAGTACTAAACAGAGCTGACCCTGCTTAGCTTCTAAGATCAAATAGGATATGGTGCTTTTAGAGTATTTAAGCTCTATGGCTTGTATACATATTCTCCCTTATTTAATTGGGACCTATCACAACATTATTTATCCATGTACACTACAACCTCAGACCATAATGTTAAAAAGATTTCATTACTGTTCCCACTACTCACTTCTAGCAAAAGAGTCTGTAAGATCGAACATCAACTCTGACATATAAGCTCTGCTATTCCAATGCATTTTAGGCTAAATAGCTCTTGGTCAGAGGACTTCTTGAATTTACAGGAGAATACTTCCAGGTAAAAGGAAAGATAAGATAATATTTTCTTAGTCCCAAGATCAACTTTTACTCAGCATCAATGAGCTTAAAAAAACAACTCCCAATGGCTTTAGGGAAAGGACTTATATCCCTTCAGATGTTGTTGGGTCGCAAGTCCCAGCATTCCTAGCCAGAATGATGATGGATGTTGGGAGCTGAATTGCAGCAAGATCAAGAGCAGGACCTCCCAAGCTATTTGAGGTATGGGGAACTTTTCCAATATGCCATAACTGTGAGCATATTTATGTCCATTGGCTATAACTGTTTGTTTCTTTTCTGGAAACTCATCAGGGACCAGCAATCATTGGCTCATGAACTGGCAATGGTTCAGGGACCATCATTTGTAGTAGGTCAGAGCAAAAGCTCTGCATAACTCCTATATTTAATTTAGGAAACAAGTAACTTAAACCCAGTTGCTATTTCAAATTATTGAACTAATAAAAGCTAAACCAATGCTTTAATAAATCCCTCCAGTTCAATAGTTCTATTTTAGTATCACAGTATGGTAGTAGCCATTGGATAGGTCCTCTCTCACACTCTCCCTAGCATCCTTCTGATGGAGACAGGGTTGCAAGAAGGATCTCTTTTAAAATCCCAGCAAGTTCATCTGAAAGAATATAGTCCTCCAGATTGTCCAGCCTAGGTACAAGTTGTGTATTATTAAGAACAGATCATAGGCTTACAGGATATTGCAATTTTCCATCTAAGAACAGTGTCACCAGGTCAAGACTTCGAGTAGAAATTCAATTAGCAAACTGAGAAGGACGACTTCCAAATACAGCAGAGCTACACAGGAAGGAAGGAAGGAAGGAAGGAAGGAAGGAAGGAAGGAAGGAAGGAAGGAAGGAAGGAAGGAAGGAAGGAATTATCATCTAGAATGAGGTTAGACATGTTGGTCCAGAGTATAAACTGTATCGCAGTGTTCAGCGCAAATAGTTTGGATGTGAATTATACCATTTTATAGTAATTGTTTTAAGGCATGTTGAGTCCACATCTAGAGGGAAGGGTGGGATATAAATAAAGTTAATAATATTGATTCTCTCTTAAGAGTGGATCCCTAATTTCCTTCTGATTCCCTGTTCTTTCTGCAGTCCTCCATGTTACATCCCATGTCATTCTGGAGAGTGTCCCAGGATCAATTTGCCTAAGGCTGCTGCATTGAGAAAGGGAAGCTAGGACCCAAGCTATTCTCTGTTGTGGGATAGAAGTTGGAGATTGAATCACCCAGGCAAGATTTGATTGTCTCTTGAAAGAGAGATTACTTTGCTACTCTGAAATGCTAATGATAAGATTAAGTAAGCCTATAAGAAAAGGGTTATTTTTCTTTAACTTTGAAATGTTGGCCATAGTTTGCGCCACACTTGTGTACCTTTTCTGCTCACAAAAGAAGATGCAAATAAATTGTGAAACTTCATTTTTCCATTAACCAAGAGAGTGGGAAAATAAGGAGTATGCAAATAATTTAGCAATTAGACAACTGCAATTTGCTTCTCCCTTCACCTGGAGTCTGACGCTCAATTGAAAGACCACAAAAAGTAAGCATAGTGATTCATCTCTGGCCTGACACCTCTTTTCTATTTGCAGATGTATAGTTACTTAACTGCCTTTACAAGCAAAAGTGGATTTTATCCATAGATCTCCGTTTGAAAGTGTATGTTCTATGAGCCCTGCCACATGCACAATGGAGGACCTTCTTATAGCAACACCAGAGGCTCTCCAAGTGGCCAGCTACTGATCAAAGGACATTTAATAAAATGGCAAGTTTGCAAACTTTGTAAAAAATATATAATACAACTGATTGGTTCACCCCTGACATGATAAATAATTTCACACAGTATGAAGTGGGTTGTATCAATTTTTTCATCTGACAGGAATATAGATAGTCCCCTAAAACAGTCATAGGATGTGGGACATACCCACGTCCTATGATTACAGAAGCAAACAACTTCATATTTAATGAAATCAGAAACTCTTTCATACTAGACAATTATAGCATTGTAATTCCATTTCAACTTTGATGGCTGCATCCTATGGGTTCTTGGATTTGTAGTTTGGTGAAGCATTAGGGGAGATTTCTGGGTGAGTTCTCCAAACAGGAAGAGGGAAAGTAGGAAGCTAAACTTGTGCTTCTTCAGATCTCTGCCAGTTTGTATTGTGATAGGGATAGACTCCCAGGGCTATAATTGTGATATAGACTTTGGACCTATGCAGGCATATAGCCGGGGGGGGGGGGGGGGGGCCTCGGGGGGCTTCAGCCCCCCCCCGAAATTCTCATGGTGGTTCGCGAAAAGGCCTTACTGGTGCATTATTTAAACTGTTATTTTTATTCATATAATGATCTGATCACCATACTCAATATATCCCATATGCATGGGGGTATTGGGGTAATGATACAAAAGGTTTGCTAGGCTAGACCCTCTTTCACTCAGACTCAGCCCCCCCCGAAACTCAGCCCCCCCAAACCCCCCCTGAAAAAAATTCAGCCCCCCCCCTTCCGAAACGAAATTCTGGCTACGGGCCTGGACCTATGTGTCATTCCCTCCTGTAAAAGTGTGCAAGGCTCTCTGACACTTTCTTTGCCTCGACCATTGCAAAACTGGCAATGTGACCTGGTAACAAATCTGTGGAAAAAACAAGATAATTCAAGTGTGTTGAGCCAACTTCATAGAGCATGAAACACAGGCATTCTCAACTGCAGTTCAGCAGGATTAAGTAGCTGATCGGGACTGCATATCTTCTCAGTGACCTTAGATGACCTGTTAATAGTCATGTTTACCCAATGTTGAATGTCCATGCATTGGCTTTCTTGGAGGTGCTAGTTCAAATTAGATGGTTTAAAAGACCAACATAGCTCTTTTTATGCCTTATACCAAGTCAGACTGTAGGTCCATCTAGCCTGATACAGATGACTCCATCAGTAGCTCATGAGGGTTTTAGATATTTTCCCCTAGCCTTGCTTGGAAATTCTTGGTATTAAAGTAGTGGTAACCTATACAACTACTACTCAGGCCCAACCCTGCTTTGAATCCAAAAGAGGACCCTTTTACACTATACCATTATAGTGCTATGATGTCACTTGAGGTGGAGTGGCAACATCTCATGGGATCTGGAGTATAGGATTTTGAATTTTTAGTTGGAGAACTCTACTTTACTGGCCTTCAAAATTCAATAGCCCTAGCCACTTGAGCAGTAATCATGGATAACTGAAATGGTAGAGATTGTAGTTGAGCAGTATCTTATAGGACAGTTTTTTCCTATCCCTGATATAATTTCTAAAAATCACTTTTATGGTGGCCTTGAAATGCCACACTAACTAATGTAGGGAGGGGCTGTTCAAGAGGATGCTGACTTCAGTTTTAATTCTTCCCTTGTTTTCTCTTTATTGCTATTTCCCCCCATCTACCAGAGAAAATCTGTTAAAGAAATAAGATGGAATATATACAGTTTTTTAACCATGAGCATCAGGAGTGGTCTGTCTAGAAACACTCTGTGGAATAAATGCGGGCTTCCTCTTTTAGGGAATAAAGATTAAAAAGACAGTTTCAGTTAATTGCCATTCATGTTAAAATCTGAAGCAACTCTATTTGGCAGAAAATAAAACCAAATTCCACTTCTGATTTTTTTATTTTGACTCTGTTAGACACTGATATTTTATGAGTTTTCTCAAACAGAGGAATGTTTACATTCTTTACCAATTATTCTGTCTGCACTTAAAACTTTCCTATCCATAGGGCTTCAGATATATTTTCTTTATTGGCTGTGGTTATGCCCTTTATACAGCTGAGGAATGAAGAGTGAACAAAGCTGGTTAATCAAGGCTGCCTTATGACTTCTCAAGTAGCCTGGAGTTTATTCCCAAACTATATTCCATACATTGTCATTATACCATATTGGTGAAACATCAGGGTAAATTCATGACAACAAACAAACAAAATGTTTAGTTATAAAGTTCATTGTCCAGTTTTGGGTTGATGAAAGTGCATTACAATGTTTATGTATTGCAGCCTTTGTCATTCATTTTCTGACTTGCTGGAGGAGGAGGAGGTGGCGGGGCGGGGGGAGTATGTCCGCCAACTCTTGCAGAATGATGG